TGGACAAATCATGGCCATTATGGAAAAAATGGTGATAAACGAAACCCTTCTAAATGAACTCGTCATAAATTTTGCACATAAATATTTAATACTTTTTACAAAAAGAAAACTAAAAACAAATGGACCTGTAATGGACTTTTGAAAAACACAAATGAACTCTTCGTTGACCGAAAAGAACAGTTCTTAAGAACTGAAAAAAAAAAATAGTCCATACAACAATGCAACGATTCATGGAGCAATATTTATTCATTTAATAATAAGTATGGAAATGAATGAATCGTTTTGTGTATGAAGTTTGGCATTGTTCGAGCTTGAAATTGATAACCTTTGAATTTATTTGTAATATTACATGAATGTTTAATCTTAAAAATTTCTTTTTTTACTAATTAAAACTAAAAATTATATTTTACACATGGAACATTTTTTATTTTAATAATATTTTGACTTTCTTGTATGTTCAAAATTTGAAATTATGCTGCTTGGTCCTCATGAGTCTTTTAACTGTAGTTTACACAATTTTTCAATTGTTTGCATTTTTCAGTTTTTATGGAATAGTGTTTAATTTTATTTATGTAATTAAATTGATTTATGTGAATATGTTCAACTATATAAATATTATTTTCGGTCTGCAAGACACTAATATAGATAGATACATCTAAAAAACATAAACTAATTTTGCCTACAAATAAGCTTAAGTTAATTTAGTAATGTAGTAACTATAATGAAAGTTTTTATTTATTTTTTGCCTTAATTAATAATGGAAGCTAAAAATTACATCCCTAAACTTAACAGTTGAAACATGTTTTATAAAAAAAAAAGATGTTGGGACTAGACAGAAGAAAACAAGACGTTTTTATTCAACGCCAGTCACAAGATCCATAGATATAAAAGTTCTCCAGAGGTAGCTTGAAAAAACAATAAGTTATACTGAAAATAAAAAAACAACAACGTCCTAGAATTACATATAGATATTAGAAATAAAATTCAGAAAGCATCCCTTCAGTCTAAATTAAAGTGTAACATACCCAAAGATTACCGCTGAAAATTGTCTAATATGACACTGAAAATGATGATGAATGAAAACGCAACTGATAATCATCTCTCCGATCTGAACTGAATAATTAGGCATCTAATAAGCACAGATTAACCAGTAGCTTAATATATGTGCTAGTGGACGGTGCTGAGACTGTCGATGTGTCCCTGGCCTGATCGAAGCTCTATTTTTTAAAATTCTAGCTTTGAAGAGGATCCCATCGTTGACTAATAAAAAGAAAATACCGGGATCGAAACGTCAATAAACAGAAGAAATGAACATTCAATAGTTTATTAAATAATAATTAAGTGACCTTATTCCCAATTAAATAGTTAAGTTTAAATTTAATACTCAAAGGTCGATTAAGGAAAAGTTGTAAATATATATATATATATATATATATATTTGCTGAACACCCCAAAAAATCCTCTTTTCTATTATTTTTTAATATAAATAAATATTAACTTCATCATTTAATTATAGGAACCAGATTCAGATTATGTGAATCAGGAAGTACATCTAGATTCTGTGATGGATACTGATGACCCACTTTACATCAAGCAAGAAGATGAGAGTTATCTGAATTCTCCAGATGTAAATATTAAGGTGCGCATTATTTATTAATTTTGCTCAGATAAGTTGTTAAATTATACTTTTGAATGAAAAGTTTGTTTTATGTTGAAACTAGCTGATGTACCCGTCGTTGACGGGTTTATAGTTAAAATTTGAGAATCTTCTTTTGAGATGGATTTTGTCGGATTGATAAAATCGGATTGAGGTTGATAAAATTGGGTCGGGAGGGGAGAGGGAAGTTGTTTTGAAATTTTTTATGGCGGGTCTTATGGAAGTCAAGGTTTCGCAATAGTCATAACAAAAACTTTGTTATTCGGCTATTTGTTTAGGTACCACACAACTAAACTGACCAACACTGATCCATTATAATTTGTTAAGTGTTTGATTTTCATTTATGGTGAAGCCAGGAGATTGTAAAGTTGATTAATTAATCAAAAAGAGTTGTAGTCTCTCCACTTATTTAAACTCTCCTGAGTTTATCGCTGGCAAAATAACATTGGACATTGAGTCACCTACATCCGTGTAAAATTAGAACTTGATATGAATATTATGGCGGACGGGGTGAAATCGAAAAGACATTCAGTTATTGGAAAATGGAATATGAGGACAATACTCTGCCAATCTCTCGTGTTTGCTGATGATATTCATATGAATGAATATTTTATTTGTTTTCGGGAAATACCTCATACAAATAGAGTTGGCCATAATAATAACAATGAACTTAATAAATTAACATGAAAAACATTTACAACTTATATACAAAGTAAAATTCATTGGGATTCAGTGACAACATCCTCTCCTGATAACAACCAAGCATCTGCCTGTATACCTTAATATAAACAATATAATATAATATAATACCTCATATAATACTATAATAATAATAATATAACAGTAAAACATAGATAGTAATAAAATGACGAATAGTAATAAATATAAGTACAAGCATAGTATACGATATATAAAAATATCAATAGTAAATAACAAATGATTCAATAAAATATGATATGCACTCTATATAAATATGTATCATGCATGAATATTAAATACCCATCAACAGAATAAGGTAAATAAACTTCAAAGTTTTGGAAACAAAATTTTGTTCACAGATTTGTAATGTCATTATTTATTGAAAATAATGGCCCTCAATCTGCAACATTGCCTCGTGTAATAAAACAGTTTCTTGAGGAAGACTTCATTATCAATTTTAAATAATCTGCCCTGGTCATATTAATGGAATGAGGTAGGAAGTGAAGGCAGAAGGGAGTGTAAATTGGGCACCGGAGGAAAATATTAAAAAGGTCCTCTAATTCATTTAGATTAAAAAGCGTGCAAATTTCTTTTTCTTGTCTTAAATTTTTACTTCTTGATGTCTTTCTTAGAAGACTTACAGAAATTTCAAATCAGAAACTAGACAATTTCCTCGATTTTCATTGACTGAAACTGCCGACTTACTCAAATTATCTAGATCTTATTACAAATAATCTATTCTCAATAAACATCTGAGAAATTCATGGAAGATGTAAATGCTGTCCTGCAATATAATGTGTATTTGCTATCGAAAATTTTTTACTTTATCCACTGGTACAATTATCCTGAATTATTGATTATTGTTTTCTTTTACAGATGGAACCAGATCTTAGTGAAGACTGTTCATCACACGATTATATGTGATAATAATGTAGAGAAAACAAATTAGATGATAATAAAGTACAATGTAAATATTTAATTATAAAATGTAAAACAATATGAAGCAATATTTTTATAAATTTGTTGATACAAGTAATTGATGCTCTAGAATAATATAAAATCTGTTGTAAAACTTTAAATTAAATTCCTTGCTTTTTATTTGCAGCTCATATCCTTTCTTGACCCAAATAGGTTTCATTTAATGAGAGAACTCTTAATCTGTACCGCTAGAGAGGCCATTGAATTTAAAGGCATTAGTTTTTAATACTCTCATCTCCTTTTATTTATTTATTTTACATACCTAAGTGATTAAGTAACTGTTATTATCTGGTATTCCACAAGAGTGGCATAAGGGATCAATGTTTTTACCATGTTTTAAAGGTTTCGCTCTGAAACCCCATGTCCTGTAAGGATCCGTGAGACCAGGAAGGCCTCATTTCTTTTCTAGGAGTGATCCAACAGTGGAAAAGAACTTTCTCAATGTGGACCCTTTTGGGGTTGTCACCCATTGCTGGTTCAATTGTTCCAATGTATCCTCCCGGAGGATCATCTTCCATCTTCTGGGGTCTTCACAAATCCTCTCTCGAATGTTCGCTAGTAAAACCTCCAAGCCATCCCTCTTAATATTGTGCCAAAAATGTCTTCCCGCAGGAGGAGGTTGAGAGGAATACCTCCTCCTAAGGCTTGCACCGCCTCATGAGACACTGTTCTGTATGACCTGGTTACTCTCAGCAGAGCCATCTGCTGGATTGTTGCCAACCTGAACTTCTGACGGTACAAGAGATTCTGGTTCCATGCAGGGGACGCATATCTTAGAACATAAACAAGTACTCCTTTATGAATGGATATAGTTGCTGGATATCTAAGGCCCAAAAAGGCTCCCCCTATGCGACTGAGACTATTAAGGGCTAAGGTCACCCTATTTCTTAAATAATCCAAGTGAGGCGTCACGTTTAATTTTTTTCTAATCCTGATTCCGAGAAAGGTGACTACCTCACTTGGACGTATTTTTGAACCTAGTATCGCTAAGGTTTTAGGGTCTGTCATCGGTCATGCCTTTCAAGAGGATGGCCTGAGTCTTGGAACTCAGCATCCTCAACAAAATTTGAGGAATAATAATTATTTTGAAAATAATTATTTAATGCAGGAGTGACCGTTCCCCACTCCCAAAGGTGGATGGTGTATGACCCCTCCCCCGTCACCCTCCAACATATTTTATTACTCTCTTTTTTTTAATAAAAGTTGAATTACACTTGCTGTTATCTGTTCCAGGATATACCTTTTTCCCCTTGTTTGAAACTTTTCATTCCGAATCCCGTCACAATTTGTCCCTCTCTAAAATACAAAATCCCATTAAATTATGCCCTCCTTAAAAATCTTAATGGTGCAACTGCACCATGAAACCTCTTCTGAGCACCCCTCATTGATTATATCTTTAATTCCTTCATTAAATAAACGATGTCAACAGACCATAATTATTAATTTACAAATGCTTATAATAATTATAATTAACTCATTAATATTTAATTTTAAATTCATCTGAAAAAGAGCAACATATGTCTCACCATGATATTTTCATTACAACAGAATATTTTTTTCTTAATCTCCGATTATTGGCATCAATAATAATATCTTAAGATGGGTTTGACACAACTAGCAAGAGGTTGTATTAGATTATAAAAAAAATATTCAAGTAGAAATTTTTCAAGAAAACAGAACATTTATTTATTTCTTGTGTCTGGTGTAAATGAAATAAAACCTATTCATGAACTGTTAAAACTTATAATGCAACAATTTAGTCATATTCCTCTTCAGATGAAGATGAATACTGTTTGCCAGTAAGACGGCTCATGATTTTCTTGAGGTCTTCAATGGCTTCCATTGCTAAATCATCATTTTTTTCCTAGAAACAGGAGACAAATAGTTATGTTTAGATTAACTGACTAATAATTACTTCAATCATAATTAAAGTTGTTAGTAATGGATAAGACATAGTGAATAAAACATATACAGATTATCCACTAAGTAGAGAAAAATATTTAAAGAGGTGATAGCAGACCTCTAGAGGTACAAATTTTTTAATAAACTATTGACTGATTTTAGCCAGAAAAGTAGGAAATTTAAAGTTTGTTGCTTTTTAAAGTTAGTCATCCTTTTTTATTAATTGTTAAATATTAACATTTAAGGTTACATAAATTAAAAAACATTTAATTTATGTAACCTTATAATCTTACTGCTTCACTCAGTAAAATAGACAAAATTTGCTTCAAATGAAAGTTTATCATGGTTGAAACCATTCAAAGAGGACTTTTGCATGGATAAACTTAAGTTCTGTTGGTGTTTCTTAAATCATGGATTCTCTATACATTTTTTTATTTTACTTTATATCTCTCTATTAAATAAAAAATCTGTTGCGGTGCTCGCATCACACAACTTTCACTTAACACCCTCTTCTTAGCAGAAATAAGTATTTTACCTAATTAAATAGACAAAGTTTGCGCCCCTCCAGATTGAAAACGCCCCAATTCCAACAGTTCGTAAACATAATTCAGGCAGTGTTAATAATTCGATAAAAAGGGGTCTGTACCAGGACTACAAGCTCATGTTAGGTATGAAATTGTGTTCTAATCTTCGGGCGAGCTGATATTCCTTTGGATCCTTTATTACAACTATTCTGTGTTTCAATCTCTTATTTCTCCTTTACTTAGTTATAATTTTTTTTCATATTTAATATTTAACTATTTTTTATATCAAAGATCAATGTGAAATGGTTAATTGTTTCAAATAAAAATTATTAAAGGTACTTAAGGGAAAGCTAATATTGAAAATTAATCATTTAAGCCCTTTTAGAGAACATCAATGAAAATAAAACCTACATAATATTAAAAACTACTTGATTTTACACTGACGTAATAAATTTAATCAAAATCGTGGGAGCCGTTTTCGAGAAAATCGTAAAAATGTGTTACATCCATGATATGAAGTGCCACTTCTGGTTAGCCGATTTTGACGAAAAAGTTGCGTAACATACCTGGCATATAAAAACCTTAAATATGCAATTTCGTACGAATTTTCGTTTTTGAGTTATACTATTAGACGCGCATACAGACCATTTTACGAGACTTAGTTATTTGTATTAGGGGACCTCAAAACTTTTATTTCCGTTGATAACTGAGATTTGAAAATTTTCGCGAACGCAATACTTTCTTTTGCTATTTATTTTATATATAGGTGAGTGAAAGTAAAAAAGTTTTAAATGACGGTCATATTTTATTTTCCCAATCTCAACAAATTAAAATGCTAGGAATCTCTCTATTATATAAAAACGTTTTAGTGACCGTGTAATATTTTATTTTTCAATCTTAACAAATTAAAATTCTGGGATAAAGTCTTGAATTTTGTTTTCTGCTTAAAGTATATTGAAAAAAAAAAACGCTGCAAATGATTACACAATGGTTTATTATTTCCAAACAATTATACATCTGTGGGTCTGTGGTACAGGCACTTTTTTATTAAATTATTAACATCCGCCTGAAACTTTGTAAATAGCTTTATCTCATTGTAACATACAAATATTTTATTTACGAAAATTCTCGGAATTGGGGCGTTTTCAATCTGGAGGTCAACAAATTTAGTCTATTTAATTAGGTAATAAAAACTCGTAAATACTCATCTGCTTTCCACTTGGATCGTGAGATAATTTGATTAGAAATCGATAAAAAAAAAAAAAAAAGGTGGCCTACAAAATATATGGCCGCTTGACCTATATAACTTCGTTACTTTGATAATTTGGGGATGTAGGTCACGCCAAACGGCTCAATATTTTTTAAGAACACTTTCTTTCTCGACTTCGTAATCCAATTATTTTACAATTCAAGTGGAAAGCCATTGCGTATTTACGAGATTTTAGCACCTAATTAAATAGACAAAGTTTGCTAACTTCCAGATTGAAAACGCCCCAATTCAGAGAATTTCCGTAAATAAAATATTTGTAGGTTAGGATGAGATGAAGCTATTTTCAAAGTTTCAGGTGGATGTTAATAATTTGATAAAAAGGGATCTGTACCACAGACTATAAAGTAACATAAAGGAAAATATTCACAATATTACTCAATTCTTCTTCGGTGCATACTATTATTTTCAAAGTTAATTTATTATTAGCTTTTTTACACCCATTTAAAAAAATTTGTCAATTAAAGACTTACTCATCAAAATGACGACAGTTTCGGCTCGGTCGAGCCATTTTCAAGTCTTAAAATTTTTTTATTCATTTACAATCTTATTATTAACTTTACATATTTCAAATTATTTTGATACTTATTATTTACCTAAAATACCCATCATGTACCTGTCATTTTCTTATGCGAATTGCAAGCGTATCTACTTATAATAAAATTCCTTATTATTGTCTTGTTCACTTTAATTTTTAAAACATTATTATTATCAATTCTTTCTATTAAATGATTCAAAATAAGTTAAAATTTCCTTGGTTCTGAGTCACCCAATGTCTTCATATCTTATCTTATTCAGTGACTGGTTATTCTTATGGTGTAGGGGAAGATCTCGTTTAGGTTGTATTGAGTATTAATAATGTTGTTAAAATAATTTAAAGGTGAACATTGACACATAATAAGGAATTTATATGAGTAGACGCTTTGTGCATTCGATAGCGTTGAAAATGACATGTGCATGCTTGGGTATTTTAGGTACATAATAAGTATCTTTATAATTTGAAATTTGTTAAAGTTAATAATATGAATGTAAATGAAAAATTTTTTTAGACTTTGAAAAATGGCCTCGACGAGCCGAAACGTCGTCATTTTTGATGAGTAGTCATTAAGTGACAAAAAAATTTTTCTAAACTTGGTGTTATTATGTCCTAATAATAAATTAACTTGAAAATAAAGGAAAATAAATAAAAGGTTATTCCTATTATAGATCTAAATATCTTTTTTTTCCATCATTAGTAATTTGCTTAGAAAAATAGCGTTGCTTCAGTAACACTTTCAAAAATCAAAAACCAAAACAAGAGATATAAACTTATCAGTAGAACATATAAAAAATATTATAAACACCATACCCTTTTACCAAATTGTCCGATTTCAACGATTTATTTTTTAAGGACATTTCGTAAACCTAAAAAACAAATTTACAACATAAAGAAATAAGTGTATACTTCTTGAGATATTCGGAAATCTAATTTTACCACCCCTTTTTCCTAACTTTTTCCAGCTTCTTTTCGTTGAAGTATGTTATGTAGATAAATATAAAGGGCATCGAGAAGAAGAATTTAGTCAAATTTCATTGAAATCGGTATATTCGTTTAGTCGCTGCAGTCTATACCAACACAGGATTTTCAGACGCCATCTTGAAAGGAAAGGGCGGATGGTAATGTCGATGTAGGAGGGTCATCCTCGGGTGACCTCAGACTTTGATTCCAAATTTGAAAAAAAAAAAATAGGTCCAAGACTCCTAGATCAAATGAGCCTTTCAGTTGACAGAATGATGAACTTAAATTTTAACATTTTTGAGAAAAGTCATTTTAGTTGTATATCTAGTTAGACAATTTTGTAATATTATTATACACAGACAGTGGGTAAATGGATTCCAGAATAGGTGATTGCACTGATTAAATATAGAACTGTGAATAAAGGTATACATTTTCTCACTAAAATTAATAATAAAAAATGTTGAAATTGGAGTTAGTCATTTTGTCAACTGAAAGGCTCAGTTCTTAGTAGGTTATGACAAAATAAAACCACTTATGATGTTTAAGGCTGATCAGGGGCGGATCTACGGGGGGGGGGGCTTTCGGGCTGAAGCCCCCCCCCCCAAAATGGAAAAATATATCCATGTTTTATGGGAAAAAAAATTTAATTAATACCTCTTAAAGTATTATTGTTCGTGTGATTACATTTAAAAGTACTTAAGGAATAACTTAAACACCATTTCATATAGGTAGTTAATTTCTTTCTGTTTTTTCAAAGTAATTATCGTTATTTTTATTTTAAAAAGAAGGTTTCGGGCTGAAGCCCCCCCCCCCAAATTAAATTCTGGATCCGCTAGTGAGGCTGATGGTAATAATTTCATGAAAACGGATCAGGGACTACCAATTGTCACTATTCAGTATTTATTATTATTATTTTTTTTTTATTATTTTCAATAATATACCATTGTAATCGTCCAAAATTAAAAAAAAAATGAACTCCCTCCCTTTCTCAATTTTTTTTTTTACTTTTCACGATAGGTAGAATTGGAAAATTGAATAAAAATAATTTTGTCCGTCCGCCGGGCCGATCGTCGATCTAGGAAGATATAAACAACTTTTACAATATGAGACTTGTAATATATCATCAATTTTTGTAAATAAGTTAATTACTTAAAAAGTGGCCTAGTAAATTTTCAAAGTTCGTTTAAACTTTCACAGTAGAGCACAGAAGAGAGAGAGGTTTGAGCGAGCAGGACTTCCGTTCACCAGTTGACAAATAGTTCCAGCATTACTTTATTTATATATTAAACCAGAGCCTGTGTTCATTATTGCTTAAGGCTGCTTTTGATAATTCAGTTATCTTTTATTTTTCACTGGATTAATTTAGGTTCAACCAGAATGAACCAGACTAAAATTGCATGTAAAAAAATGGCTTAAATGAAATATATAAATAATGCTAAAATGGTCTGTGAAATACCTTTCCCGGTATCCCGCCGATACATTTTTTTTTTTAATTTTGTAGCATATTTTATATTCTTTAAAGTAATATAGGTCAAATTTTGCGCTAAGCACAGTATTTTTTATTATTTCAGAAAACATAAACTAAAGTTTTTGAATCAATTTTTCGATTTATTGTTTTCAATAATGAACCATTGTGATCAACCAAAAAAATTCAAAAACTTAACCCCCTCTCA